TCACATTTTTATTAAGTAATAATAAATACTTTTTGACCTAGAGTGTAAAATCAACATTTTTGTCACCAGAATAAAAAATAATTAAAATAAAAAAATAATAAAAAAAAATATATTATTAAAATAAAAAAACAAAATTTATATTATTATTATTATTTTATTTTAGTGCCAAAATTGCTCACTTTGCTCTTCAGGGACACAAATTATTTATTATCACTTAGGGAAAATGTCATTTTGTGCACTAGTGACAAAAACCGATTTACTTTTTTGAATAAAAAACGTATTTTACTCCCTAGTGACAAAAATGTTAACTTTGCTCCTTAGGGACACAAATTATTCGTTATTACGTAGTTGAAAGATTATTTTTGTGCATTAGTGGAAAAAAAAACATTTTACATTTACGACTATCAAAAATAATATTTAAAAATTGTTAGAAAAATAGAAAAATTCACGATAAATAAAGAAAATATAAAAATAAATGAAAAATAAAGAAAATATAAAAACAAATGAAAAATAAAGAAAATATAAAGACAAATGAAAAATAAAGAAAATATCAAAATAAATGAAAAATAAAGAAAATATAAAAACAAATGAAAAATAAAGAAAATATAAAAACAAATGAAAAATAAAGAAAATATAAAAACAAATGAAAAATAAAGAAAATATAAAAATAAACGGAAAATAAAGAAAATACAAAAATAACTGAAAAGTAAACAAAATATAAAAATAAACAAAAAATGAAAAAATAGAAAAGCATAAAAAAGTAATTAAGATTAAAGGAAAATAAACTTTTTTTTATCTAATTATAGATTGGAAAAATGCTTAAACGCATATTGAGGTAAATTTTTTTATTTTTTCACCATTTCAGCGATATTTTTAAAAACACATGCAAACACAAACACTCACACACAGAAACACTCATAAAATCGTTCCTTTACAATATGATCTACTTTCCCTTGCGTTGTACAATTTTAACTGAGTCATAAAATCACTAAATCAGTGAAAAAAAAGATGAAGCTACAAAGTTGGATAATTTTCCTCTCGAAGAAACATTCCCGCATGAAAGCGTATTCCAATTACGTTTCTACTTTTGCACGAGTTAAATGGTGCGTCGCTCCGATGCGAAACGGAGATTTACAACTTTCTACTATCTCTACATTTTTGCCAATAATAATAAAAGGGCGGAAAAATTGTTTACTTCAAAATCTGATTTCATTAAAAAAAAAACAAAAAAACCAAATCAAATTTATTAATTAAAATTAATTAATTAATTAAAAAGCAAATTTATGAAAAATGCTTCTAAAGTTTCTATCGTTCAAATGAACGACATTTTTTTACTTTTTTTAATTTATATTTTTTTATAGAAAAAAAATTATTTTTTAAATTATTATTTTTTAATTTAAGATTTTTAATTAAATAAATGTTAAATAATTAAATAAATGTCTTTTTAATTATTACTATTTTTGTATCAGTAATTTTGAAAAATATTTAAATTGAAAAAAATTTTGTTCAAATGAACGTTCAAATTTAAAAAAAAAAAAAGAAAAACACATTTTTTTTGTCTCAATTTATCATTCTTAGAAAAATTGTAAAATAAAAATACAAAATAAACAAAAAAAAAAAATTCCCAAATATAAAAATATCGACTAATTTTTCACGTGAGAAATTCTCCTTAATTTCCCAAAAATTTTGAAAGACAACATAAATTTTGCAAAGTGTCAAAAATGTTTGACAGAAATTGAGAAATAGTGCGATCTATTTTCAACAAAATATCTCATCGTTTTATTCATATGCAAAGGGAGAGGGGAATTATGATTAATTTCTCATTTTGAGAAATCAATAAGTCTAGAAGTTCAAGTTAACAATTTAGGGCAACTATATAATGTCAAAAAAGACATTGGGTGAAATGATAAACGAGAAAGAATACATTACAAACGATTGCGTGCTCAAATTTATTCCCAATGTTTTTCCTTTCACCTGACCATGTTTTTCATAAATGGATTAATTCAAAATCACCTTTTTTTCATATCGTCAAAATTTTTCCCCTCCTTACAAAAATTTTCCATGAATAATTAAGATACATATTCGATAAAAAATTGAGTGATTATATTTTTTGGTTAATTTAAAATTCTATTTAAGAAGTGATCAAGACACACTAAATTTTTTGATAAATTATTTAGTTTTCAATAATTTAAATCGTAATTTATATTTTAATTCGACTCACTAGATTCGAATTAGAATATTTAGTTTAATTTTAATTTTTCATTTTATTTTAATTTACAATTTGGAATTATCAAAAATGAATTAAGAGTTAAAGTTTAATTCGTTTTCCAAAGACTAATAAACCTTTCTTTCTTTTTCTCTTTCTTTTTTCTTTTTTCTTGTAAAAGTCGATTTTTATTCCTTTTGGAAATAATGACAAACTTTGTCGAGGGAGAGACGACTATTTGAATATTTTATCAAACTTTTTTAAAAACAAAACCAAAAGAAAGGCAGAAAATTCCCACAAAAATTGTGTCACGTATAATCTTTTAAAAAATTCACTAGAAAGGGGGTCAAAAAGGAAAAATTTTCAAAAAAAAACTAAAAACTTCTTTTTAATATATAATTAAAGTAATAAAATTTAATAAAATTGAAACCAAACAAAATTTAATAAAATCAAAATCAAACAAAATTTAATAAAATTAAAATCAAACAAAATTATAATAATTATAATTAATATAATAATTATAATTAATATAATTAATCTAATTAGTATAATTAATGTAATTAATAGAATTAACATAATTAATAAAATTAATATAATTAATAGAATTAATATAATTAATAAAATTAATATAATTAGTCTAATTAATATAATTAACATAATTAATATAATTAAAACAAAGAAAGAGAAAAGAAACAAAAAATTATTTTTAACATGATTAAAGTAATAAAATTAAAATGAAACAAAATCACCAAAAAATAAATAATAGAAACATTGAATTAAATACAAATTTAATGAGATAATTTAAATATCCTTTTAAAATCAAGTAAAAAAGTCTGATAAGAGGGGTGTCAAAAAAATTTATGAATTTGATAATATTTCAAAGAATAAAAGCAACAGGTTAAGTCACTTTAGAGAGATTCTCAGGAATGATTAAAGTTTTTATGACCTAATTAATGGAAACAAATAAATAGTCATTTGTCGACAAATTTTTTTCTAATTTTTCGACTTCTGAGGGAAAATTAAAAATTTTGAAATTAAATAATAGTGAACAAAAAAAAAATCAGTAGATAAGGTGAGTAAAAATAATGAATAAAGAACAAAAAATGTCACAAACAAAAATTACTAAACATTTTAATTAATTCAAAGTTAGAGAGTAAAAAAAATAATGATAAATAAACATAATGGTAAAATTTAATAATCAATGTATTTAATTATTAACTTATATTGACAAATAATTTTATTATTTTCGCAAAATTATATTGACTCTATTCATTATTTATTATTATTTAGTCTTTTGTGTAAAGAAATAATTTGTTGCTTTTGAAATAGTAAATTTTGCTAATAGTAATTTTACTAAATTGTAATTTCCACTAATTTATTAGTAAATTTTACTAATTGTAATTTTACTAAATTGTAATTTCCACTAATTTATTTGTAAATTTTACTAATAGTAATTTTACTAATATTAATTTTACTAATAGTAGTTTTACTAATATTAATTTTACCAATAGTAATTTTACTAATAGTAATTTTACTAAAAGTAATTTTACTAAATAGTAATTTCCACTAATATATTAGTAAATTTTACTAAAAGTAATTTTATTAAATAATAATTTCCACTAATTTATTAGTAAATTTTACTAATAGTAATTTTATTAAATAATAATTTCCACTAATTTATTAGTAAATTTCACTAATAGTAATTTCCACTAATTTATTTTTTAAATTTTACTAATAGTAATTTTATAAAATAGTAATTTCCACTAATTTATTAGTAAATTTTACTAAAAGTAATTTTACTAAATAGTATTTTCCACTAATTTAATAGTAATTTTTACTAATTAAAAAACAAAAATTCAGTCACTAATAACAATTAGTAAATATTTTTACTGAATTTTTATGATTTCAAGTAACAATAAATAAATTGCAATAATATTATACACAAGAATCAATTACCGTCAAAGAGAAAATAAATAAATTACACTATACAATGAATAAATCAAAGTAAGCTTCAGCTTTGTAATTTTCTTGGAATAAATCTTGAAGTGTGTATCATTAATCTGGGTTAGATTGAGATATTTTATGGAATCATTGAAAATCAATATCACTTCCTACTTCAATTCGCAATCGTATCAAGTTATTTTATCACCTTCTATGTATATTCCTGAAATGACACTATAACGCACACGTGCATAAATACGCTCATAAATTTTAAAGGAAACTGCCCTCAACCACGACGTGACACATATTACTGAGTGTTGTCATTTATGTGGAAATATTCCTGAACTGTGAACCCTTACGTGCAACTGATATTTAATCAATATCATCTTTTCAATTCTAATATATAGAAAAAAAAACATATTTTTCAAAACAAAAAAATAGTAGAAAAAAACAAGAAATTTCCATTATTATTTGTTCACGAATATTCCTTTTTCGTAGAAAAAATTCTCGGAAATTGAAAAAAATTGTTGCAATAGAAAAAATATTTTCTAATTTGCTTTTTTTTACTATTTTATTATTTTTTAGACACAATTTTTTTTGTTATTGTTATTAATAATGTATCGAAATGTTGCTTTGCAACATTTTATAAATTTTGATAAATTTTTTGTCTCAATTTGATATCCTTAGAAAACTGTGAATAAACTAAAAAATAAATTAAGGAAAAATTGTAATAAAAATCCACGAACAAATTTAATAAATATTGATTAATTTTTATAATAAATAAATAAATAAATAAATAATTAAATTCAAAAAAAATGTAATAAAAAAATTAATGTAAACATGAATATTGTACCTTGTGTCTGTTGAGCGATATGTTACTTGGAATGATGAATACATTTCAGTCTTCTGTGTAAATGTAAAGACGCTGAACTTGGTTCCAATGCGTGTTTTCACAAAAAAAGAAAAAATCACCACTTCACGTAAATCATTGCAATTGACTTAATTAATAGGCAAATTTCTTCCAAATTTTTTTTTTACACAAATTTACAAATGTACAACGCTTTCGACTTTATATACTTGAATCGCGAACTTTCGTTGAATAATATAATAATAATAATAATTAGTGAACCGCACTTTTTTGCATTTGAAAAAGAAAAATTATTTACACGAATGTTATTTGATCTTTATTCCTTTTTGAAATCCACTTACTGCAACATCTGAAACAAATAAAAAGAGTGCATCGAAATTTTAATCAGTTTTGAAAATAAAATTAATAGGTTAATGACTAAAAAAATATGTTCATTAAGACTATTTATTAAGAGTACTATTTATTCAAAGTACTATTCATTCAGATTACTATTTATTGAGACTACTATTTATTCGGATACTATTTATTAAGAGAGTACTATTTATTGAGACTACTATTTATTCGAATTATTATTTATTGAGACAACTATTTATTGAGACTAATGTTTATTCGAATTACTATTTATTCAAATTATTATTTATTCGAATTACTATTTATTGAGACAACTATTTATTCGAATTACTATTTACTCAGACTACTATTCATTCGGATTACTATTTACTCAGACTACTATTTATTCGGATTACTATTTATTGAGACTATTATTTATTCATGTTACTATTAATTTAGATTACTATTTACTGAGACTACTATTTATTGAGACTACTATTAATTTATATTACTATTTACTGAGACTACTATTTACTCAGACTACTATTTATTCGGATTACTATTTATTGAGACTACTATTTATTGAGACTATTATTTATTCAGGTTACTATTAATTAAGACAACTATTTATTGTGATTACTATTTGTTAACACTACTATTTATTGAATTTACTATTTGCCACTTATTAAGATTACTATTTAATGAATTTACTATTTTTTAAGGTTACTATTTGTTGACTATTAGTTGAGACTACTATTCGTTGAAACTACTATTTGTGGAGTACTAGGGGAATGTAGTCAAGGTTGGTCTACTGTCTAGGTAGGCCATCGCGATTTTTTGGACAAGTTCACTAGCGCCACCTACGCGCATGCTTGTCGAAGCTTGTCTTAGTGTAACCTAACTTTTTGTTCAATTACATTTTCGGAAAATCGAAAATTGTGTTTTCTGTGACGTCGGTACAAAAAAAGCTCAAAAAAAGTTTTGTGCATAATGTGAAAAACAATTAATAAAAGATAAAAAACAAATTGAATCGTCAAGGCAAGTATGCAGAAAATTTGTGGGACTCATGGTTGAAAGAAAAACAAAGTAAAAAATCGAATCCCGAAACGTATTTCTTTATGGTTACAACAATTCGGTAATGTTACTTACTGTCAAGGTCGGCCACTATGTGTTTAAAATGCGCAAAGATGAGGACGAGCTACTTCATTTGCAAAAACTGCAATTCTGTATAACTCATAATATAATTAATCATCTTATTAATATTTTTATTTAATTTTATTAATAGTTTTGTGAAAAATTTTTTTTTATTTATATTTATTTTTTATATTGTTTATTTTTATTATTTTGTTATTTCATTAAGTTACAAACTGTAAACAATAAAGAATCAATTTTCCGTAACTCCAAACATGTTATTTTATTTTTTAACGATTAATGCCCTTTGAATTTTAAACATGGCCGACCTTGACTGTAATGGCCAACCTCGACTACAAATTTTTTTTTTTTTACTTCTTTATAACTTTTTCATTTTAAAACCAATCAATTTACTTTGTACAGAAAAGATGTTCCTATTAAACAGGACTTTCCAACCATATACTTCAATTGTCCAAATTCATTTTTAAAAAAAAGTTATAAACAAAAGTCAAAAAGGTGGCCGACCTAGACTATGTTCCCCTATTTTTTAAAACTACTATTTATTGAGACTACTATAAGTTTAACTTCTACTTTAGAAAATTTAAATTCGTTAATTTTGAATTTACATTAAATGTAAAAAAAACAGACACCAACAAAGATGTAATTCTAAAAGGATGAAAGTTTACTTTATCAAATAGTAAAAATTATTATTACTATTATCTTTTTGAGTAAAAAATAGTAGTCTTTTCGTGAAGACTATTAGTCGAAATCACTATTAATTAGAACAAATTCATTGCCTGTAATTATTCCACAAATGAAACATTAATTCATTAAGATAATGAATTGAGACAAATATAATTGCGGGATTAGTTTTGAAAATATTTTTAACTACTATTAAAACAACTATCACCTAACTCTGAAATAATACCACTAAATTTACCACACTACGAATAAGTATATATATCTGACCGCAGACATAAAAATAATAGAGATACTATTTCTTCCTCTCTGTTGATTAGAATTCATCACCAAAGTTCAGAATTAGAATTTAGATAATTAGAGAGGAGAGAAAGTTACTTTGTTTTTCATGCTAGAATACCATGTTCAAATAGAATTGTATATAATTATAATTCACGACTTTTTTTTTGGGACAAAAAGTACGTAGTTTTTGGTTGCAAAAAAACAATGGTTTACACTATATGAAGTAATTCGAAATTTGTCAGTTTTAAACTACAGCTCGTTAAAAGATAAAAGTAATCGTACCCGAGGTTCAAATGTTGAAATAAAAGAGGATAATTTATTCCCACAATTGAGTTCATTTAAACTTTTCGTGCAATTCTGCTTTTTTAACTTTCGTGAAATAAAAAATAAAGTGCAAACGTTTTCTCTTTTTTTTCTTCTCTATACGGTTTAAAAAAAAAATGCTAATAAAAATTATATTTTTTTTATCTTCATTACTTTTATTCAATGGTGTAAGAAAGTCTTTAAAAAAATAGCACTCAATTTTTTTTACATTTGTTACAAATATTAATTTTCTTACTGAAAAAAAACTTTTAACTCTTTTCAATGATTTCTAAATTTAATTTTTCAAAACTTAAATAATTTTGTTAAATAAATAAATAATTATTATTTGTTTTTCCATGGGAAATAAAATTAGAAAAATTTAAAATTAAAACCTTCTGACATTGATAATTTCTTGGTCGCAATTTTTGAAAAATAAGTCAAAAAAATCCCATTTTTTTAAAATAGTCGAAAAAAATAAAAAAAAAGTCATAATATCCGAGGCCTGTGACTTTTATAAAATCCCGTTGGGAGTTAAATTTTTACTTCCTTTTTTAACAGTAGGTATATTTAATTAAATAGTAGAAAAAAAATGTAATAAAAACAAAAAAAACTTTACTACCAATATATTATGCTTGACAAGAAAATATAAAAAAAAGAGAGAAGAGATTTTATACTGACACGCTTGAAATTAAATTTCCTACTTGTCACTGATGTTGAAATATAGAGAAGGATCGAAATTGCGCGCAGCCTTTAATAGAAAGCCAATATTGAAGAAAAATTTATCTTTTGAATATCGCTTTAGTAATTTTGTTCAAATATACTGTGTTTTAAAGACTAGTTGATTTTAACGTTTCTATATATTTCAATGTTTATTTTTTTTCTACATCTACATAATGTAAATAGATATACTTTAATTTCTCCTTCAAAATTGTTATTTATTTAAAAAAAAAAGATAAGTTCCAAACTGCGGAATTTCCAAACTTCTTGCAAGTTTAATTAAATTCAATTAAAATAAAACTTTGAATTGAGTTTTGAATAACGTTCCTTAAGGTGAAATTGCACTTTAACGTTTTCGCTATACAACCAGCAACAGTCAAATGTTTTTCACGCTTCTACCGATTATACATACCAGTTTTTAAAACCACAATTAAATTGAAATTTTTTTATCTTTCCTAAATGAGTTCTTTTTCGAGGAAATGAATCGATTCTAAGAAACAATAAAAAAAATCTATAAAATTTAAAAGCCCTGCAAAGAAGCAATAAATACAATTTTAGAAAAATTTATTTAACTTGGTGTAAGGTTCAGTTAGTGTAAACTTTATTTCAATTGGAGTAAATTAAAATTTATTAACATAGAGTTTATTAAGATTTTAGCCCAATTACAATAATTAATTAATTATTATTAATTTAATTATTATTTTATTATTAATTTAAATTCTGGTTAGAATGTTCTATGAGAATTTAATTATTTACATATAAAAGATAAATAATTGATTGAATAATTGATTATTTCTGAAAATTAAATTTTTATAAATAATGTTATCAAACATTTGATAAATAATTGAAGAATTTTAATAACCTTTTTAAGAATAATTGGATTTTGTATCTATTAAAAATAATTGAAATCTCTCGAATTGAATATATATTTTAAATAATTGAATTGTTGCAACGAATAATGTTAGTTTTACAACAATTAAAAGTTTCAAAAACTACAATAAAAAAAAATCGTTTAAAAATGTATACTTTCTAAAAATTCATAATATAACTTTTCTAATATTAATTTATTATTAAAAATTTTAAATAAAATTCGTTTATAAATTAATTCTGATTAGAAGGTGCTACAAGAATTCAATTATTTAATTAAAAATAATAAATAATAATTTATTGAATATTTAATTGATTATTTCTTAAAATTGAATATTTATAAACAATTTTATGAAAAATTTGATAAATAATTGAATTCTTTCGAAGAATTTTAATAAAATTCTTAAGAATTATTGCATTTTTCAAGAAATTTATTTAAAATTGTATTAAAAATAAGTGAAATTCTGAGAAGATATCCTTCCTTAAATAAATCAAATGTTGAAAAGAATTTTATTAAAATTTTTTTTAAGAAATTTAATTACTTTTTTATTATAAATATATGAATTCTTATAAACAAATTTAACGAAATCAATTTTATCAGACATTAAAAATAATTGACATTCTTTGGAGACTTGCATAAAAAGTGTTTTAAATAATTGATTTCGTTCAAAAAACTTCATGAAAATTACAATTTAAATAATTGAATTTCTGTAAACATTGTATTATTTATGAAAATAATTCAATTCTTTTGTGAAATTTTATTAAAAGTAATTGACTATCATCCAAGAATTTCATTATTTATGAAAATAATTGAATTTTTGGGAAAAAATTCTCCTCAAATTTTAGAAAATAATTTAATTGTTTCAAACGAATTTTATTAAAATTTTTATTAAATAGTTGAATTCTTTTGTAAAATGTAATTGAAAATAATTGAATTTCAGCCAAGAGTTCCATTATTTATGAAAATAATTAAATTCTTGGGCAAAAAATTTTTTAAAATAATTGAATTGTTTCAAAAGA